TTATTTTGTGTATGTGTGTTTTCTTATAGCAAAACCACATCGGGCTATCTGCTGTGTCCACTGAGGGGAGTCGAACCCCTGCTTTTAGCATTGTAAATTCGAAAACTTACCGCTGTCCCACCGAGGGACATATATTTCATTTATTTTGTGTGTGTTTCTTATAGCAAAGCCACATTGAACTATGTGTCGTATCCACCGCGGGGAAATGAACCCCAGATTTTGGCGTCATAAGTCTGTAAACTTACTGCTGTCCCATCGGGAGACATCTTGTAAAGACTGCATGTTTAGAAACGTGGTAAAGCCCAGCTCCAACAACACTGAAAATCATTTTAACTTGTTTCAACATTCTACAAAGGGTCAGATAACGAATTTCGCTCAAATGGATTTAACGGTTCCGCCGAATTTAAGTTGTAAATTTCACACAATATGCCACATTTTTAAAAGTAGGGGTTTCGAATATTCACGGTAAACAGTTAACAAACCATAGCGACAGGATTATCGATGCCATTATCATCAACGTTGTATTTTTACAAAAAAACTATGCTGGTAAATGTTAGCTATAAAATAATGTCTGTTGCACCAATCAAATTAAATTTTGATCTTATTTAATAGAAATATAAATTCAACAAATTATTCCTTTTCGTTATTCTTTGTTTTCCTCACTACACCTACAGAAGGAATAAAAAACTATTGCAAATCCTGGCGTTGTTTAAAAGAATCATTATTGAGCCCCGTACAGAATTTTGATTTATTGTTCAGATACATAGTTCACTTCGTCATAGCACGTGGTGCCACCTATATCATCAGAACTGATATGTCTATTCTTAACCTCCTCAAGTGGTTGTTTAATTTGTCTAAGAGTTGTTCTTCAGTTACATTGGTCATTTCATCATAACTGCGTGGCCAGGTGGTCAGGGCGCTTGACTCGCAATTTGGGGGTTCGGGGGTTCGAATCCCCGTCCCACCAAACATGCTCGCCCTTTCAGCCGTGGGGACGTTATAATGTGACGATCAATCCCACTATTCGTTGGTAATAGATTAGCCCAAAAGTTGGCGGTGGGTGGTGTTGACTAGCTGCCTTCCCTCTAGTCTTTCACTACTAAATTAGGGACGGCTAGCGCAATTATCCTTCGTGTAGCTTTGCAAAACAAAACAAACCAATCACTACGACACGTGGTGCCACCTATATTATTAGGATTGATAATGACTATTCTTAACCTCCTCAAGTGGTTGTTAATTTGTTTAAGAGTTGTTGTTAAATTATGTAAGTCACTTCGTCATAGCCGTTGTGCCACCTATGTCATCAGGATTGATGATGACCTTAGTTTTATTCTTAACCTCCTGAAGTGGTTGTTTAATCCGACTGTAAGATTGTACCAATTTATTAGTATTCAAAATGCTTTAAATCTAGAAGTGTTCCCGGTTAGTACTCCAAGTTTATCTCGTTGTTTTGCTGTTTGTTATAGAGCAAAGCCACATTCGAACCCCGAATTTTAGCGTTTTAGGTCCATAATCTTATCGCTGACACACTGGGAGACTATCTCGTTCTTAAAACGGATAAAATAATTCAATTTTAGCCTCTGCAGAATATCGATTATGTAACCATATTGCCAGTTTGACCTTGTTGAAGTATGCCTGTCAGGTTAATATCTAAAGAATTACGAATCCCTACTGACACATAAGTCGTTAGCATAAGAGCGTTCACAATACGCTTCAGTAAATAACAAAGCCTGTTTGTTTCATATCCTATCAGCGGTCTGTGCATGGAGTTAATTTCAAGCTTCTCAGACGTCATCGTGTGATTATTCCCGATCGATACAAAATCACAATACTTGGTCGTACCATATGGTGAAGTTTTACCGCTAGAGCTCTGACGTTAACTATTCCCAATCGATATAAAATCATGATATAAGGTCGTACCACATGACGAAGCTGTACCGCTAGAGCTCTGACTTTAACTATTCCCGATCGATATAGGATCATGATACAAGGTCGTACCACATGACGAAGCTGTACCGCTAGAGCTCTGACATTAACTATTCCCGATCGATATAGGATCATGATACAAGGTCGTACCACATGATGAAACTGTATCGCTAGAGCTCTGACGTTAACTATTCCCGATCGATATAGAATCATGATACAAGGTTGTACCACATGATGAAGCTGTACCGCTAGAGCTCTGACGTTAACTCTTCCCGATCGATATAGGATCATGATACAAGGTTGTACCACACGATGAAGCTGTACCGCTAGAGCTCTGACGTTAACACTTCCCGATCGATATAGGATCATGATACAAGGTCATACCACGTGACGAAGCTGTACCGCTAGAGTTCTGTCGTTAGCTATTCCCGATCGATATAGAATCATGATACAAGGTCGTACCACATGACGAAGCTGTACCGCTAGAGTTCTGTCGTTAGCTATTCCCGATCGATATAGGATCATGATACAAGGTTGTACCACATGACGAAGCTGTACCGCTAGAGTTCTGTCGTTAGCTATTCCCGATCGATATAGGATCATGATACAAGGTTGTACCACATGACGAAGCTGTACCGCTAGAGTTCTGTCGTTAGCTATTCCCGATCGATATAGGATCATGATACAAGGTCGTACCACATGACGAAACTGTATCGCTAGAGCTCTGACGTTAGCTATTCCCGATCGATATAGAATCATGATACAAGGTTGTACCACACGATGAAGCTGTACCGCTAGAGCTCTGACGTTAACTCTTCCCGATCGATATAGAATCATGATACAAGGTTGTACCACATGACGAAACTGTATCGCTAGAGCTCTGACGTTAACTCTTCCCGATCGATATAGGATCATGATACAAGGTCGTACCCCATGACGAAACTGTACCGCTAGAGCTATGATATAAATAGGTTTTGTTAGACAGCTTCAAAAACAAGGGATCTGCGACGTCATCGATTTATTCATTAACAGTTAAAAGTGGCATGAGCGCCACGATGGACATGTCTTATTCTCAACTATTTACTGGGTCAAGAACATGCAAGCTATTTCTGATCTCCAGTAGAAGATTTATTGATAACATAATTGAATTTTTTAAATATTCAATTTCGTTAGAAATGACTATTGGATACTTCAGTGAAGATTACCACCCCAAAATTTCAATGTTTTTTCAATGTCAATGAAAAATAGGGTTATATTAAGTTTTTTCAACTGTAACCATTTGCCTACTAAATATTGCATTCCATGTCAATAACAAAAGAGGGTTATATTAAGTTTCTTTGCAGCTGTAACCATCTGCCTAATAAATACTGCTTTCCAGTCACTAACAAAAGAGGGTTATATAACGGTTTTTTCAACTGTAACCATCTGCTACAAAATACTGCTTTCCATGATAGTAACAAACAAGGGTTATATAAAGGTTTCTCAGCTGTAACCATCTGCTACAAAATACTGCTTTCCATGATAGTAACAAACAAGGGTTATATAAAGGTTTCTCAGCTGTAACCATCTGCTACAAAATACTGCTTTCCATGATAGTAACAAACAAGGGTTATATAAAGGTTTTTCAACTGCAGCCATCTGCCTACTAAATACTACTTTCCATGTGAGTAACAAAAGAGGGTTACATTAAAGTTTTTTTCAGGTGTAGCCATCTGCCTACTAAACACTGCTTTCCATGTCAGTAATAAAAAGAGGCTTATATTAAGGTTTTTTTTAGCTGTAACCATCTGCCTACTAAATACTGCTTTCCATGTCAGCAACAAAAATGGGTTATATTAAGGTTTTTTTAGCTGTAACCATCTGCCTACTAAATACTGCTTTCCGTACAAGTAACCGAAAAGTATAATATTAAGGTTTTTTAGCTGTAACCATCTGCCTACTAAATACTGCTTTCCATGTCAGCAACAAAAATGGGTTATATTAAGGTTTTTTTAGCTGCAATCATCATCTTGTTCGATACTGCTGTCATGTCAATAATAAAAGAGGGTTATATTAAGGTTTTTTTAAACTGTAACCACCTGCCTTCTTATTACCGCATTCCATGTCAGTACCAAAAGAGTGTTATATTAAGGTTTTTTTCTTAGCTGTAACCATGTTCCTGTTAAGTATTGCTTTCTATGTTAGTAACAAAAGAGGGTTACGTTAAGGTTTTTTCAGTTGTACCCATCTGCCTATTGAATACTGTTTTCCATGTCAGTAACAAAACAGGCTTATATTAAGGTTTTTTGCTCCATAGCCATTTCCCTATTAAATACTGTTTTCCATGTCAGTAGCAAAAGATGGTTATATTAAGGTTGTTGTTTTTTTTTTAACTGTAACCATCTGCCTATTAAATCTTAATTTAAAAGTATTTGTTTGTATCAGTCTTTGTTGGTTGTGAAATTCTAAGACCGACCTTAGAGAATGTGAAACATAAATGTAGGAATAGTGGAGGGGCAACAACTCCCATCTCCAATACAGTGGGGCTCGCACGCCCGTAAACTTCGTTAAGTTTGTGATTTTCCAAACTTGAAACGATGATTCAAAAAACCTACATTAAATTATTTGTAGCATCTCACTGAAAAAAATATTTCTTATACTGTCTGCCGAAGCTCCGTAGTAAAAACCTTCACTAAACTATCCTTAGCATCTCAGTGAGAACTAATTTTTTACATTGTCTCCAAAAACTCAGTAGTATAAAACCCATCCTAAAATAATCTTACCACCTTCGTAATAAATCTTGCTTAATTTGTCTCTAAAAATCGATATTAATATAATCCTAGGAATTCAGTGAAAACGTTTTATTATGTTTTATGTATCCTCACATCTTGTATATAACCTATTGTATCTTCACTTACTGTATATCACGCCTTATTTACACATATCTTTTAGAGGAACATCAACACTTCAGTGTGTGTGACTTCTTCTGGATAATAACACCTCTACAAGATCTAAATTACGTTTTATATCTCCACTCAGTAGAACACCTACAATCTCAGCTCTTCTGTATCAAGCCATCTGCTACAGCTACTTACCCACATTCTGTTGCTAGCTCTTCGGTGGTAGTAGCAAAGACAAGATCCTGATTTTGAGTGACCGACTGAAGAGAAGTGAGACACAGCTGGAACTTCTCTAATGTGCATGTTTGTTCAGGTGAGAAGGAGATTTCTGGAATAGAAGAACAGAATCGTCAAATGTAACTAGTCCGAAAACGTCTTCGGTGGCTGGTTAGGTTCGTAGTTTCAACATGAAAGACGTTATATTAAACACGGTGAGAGATTTCGTTATTAAAATCAATAAAATAAATATCAATATCCGAAAATATTCAAGGTATCAGCTCGTCCAGTTAATAAAGATCACATTATTATTATTATTATTATTTTTGCTGGTGTTTTTCTTATCAATGTATAATAACAATAAGAGCAACAAAACGGTTTAGGCTTACCTTTTGATATTAAAATCAAGAAGTAAATAACACTATTAGATACGTATATTTGTATACAAAGTTGTTAATGAATTAATAATCATTATGTATTTTTGTGTATCCTATCATAAAAAGTTCAATTAAGTCATATAACTCCTCTACGTCCTGATTGCCTTGCCCCCTGGTGGCACAGCGGTACGCTTGAATACTTATAATGGTAAGTATTAGGGTCCATCGTGGAAAATCAGGCCTTCTGATTTTAGCGTTGTAAGTCCGCAAATTTACCGCTGATCCACAGGGAGACAACTTGTAAAACTGTGATCCGTTTTCATGACTTCTTTCGTACGTATTTCATATTCTACCATGATCCACCGGGAGACAACTTGTAAAACTGTGATCCGTTTTCATGACTTCTTTCGTACGTATTTCATATTCTACCACAGGGAGACAACTTGTAAAACTGTGATCCGTTTTCATGACTCCTTTCGTACGTATTTCATATTCTACCACAGGGAGACAACTTGTAAAACTGTGATCCGTTTTCATGACACCTTTCGTACGTATTTCATAATTCTACCACAGGGAGTACAACTTGTAAACTGTGATTCCGTTTCATGACTCTTGTAC